AACTTCTGTTACCATGTTGTGACAATAGTGGAGTACTTCACTGATAACTTCTGTCACCACGTTGTAACAATAGTGAAATACTTCACTGATAACTTCTGTTACCGTGTTGTAACAATAGTGGAGTACTTCACTGATAACTTCTGTTACCGTGTTGTAACAATAGTGGAGTACTTCACTGATAACTTCTGTTACCGTGTTGTAACAATAGTGGAGTACTTCACCGATAACTTCTGTTACCGTGTTGTAACAATAGTGGAGTACTTCACCGATAACTTCTGTTACCATGTTGTAACAATAGTGGAGTACCACACCGATTGGAATTTGTAAAATTCTGAAGTGTTTATCTGTGTTCCCTTCTGTAAGAATAAACAGTGTTGTTATCTTTTTTTATAGTGTAAACCTATTGTAATGTAGTTTTTGTTTTGGATCAGAACATCTAAGATGATAACAACCCACTCAATAGAAAAAACATATCTGTTATAATAGTTATGGTAAATACTTTAACACAATAAGTATATGAAGGAAAATGTACTTGTTGTAATATTGTTGTGGGTTAAATACAGGTTTAGTGTAACTACCACTGTTGTTGCATTATTATTTGTATCTAGAACAGATTCAGGATAAAGTGACCATTGCACTAATGACCAAGAGGCTTAAGTGGCATTTGCCTGTTTAGTTATCGTAGCGATAATATTGAAGAGGTCCATGTGATTAGTTTCTTGAACCTGTGTTTTGAAATGATAGAAAGTTTGTCTTGAGTTGTTTAGAGATATTTATATAAATATTTTTGGTTAGCCATGATTAGATCCTGTGGTTTACATTTTTCTTGTCAGGCTCGACGTCTCGGATCACTAAACAAGTTCAAGAGTAAAAATAGATCAATTCTTATAGCTACTGATGTGGCCAGCAGGTGAGTCACTCAATACATATTTGTAAAGTACCATCAACCTTTTCAATTTCAGGTATGAAAGTCAAAATCATTGGAACACAAATTGATTACACTATTGCAAAGAGTGTAATTAAGTTTGGTTCTCTAAGTAACTTTAAAGAAAGTAATTTAGCAAACAGATTGTAAAGTTTCCACTTTTGTAATCTCTTCAAAGATTGATATGCAAGTGTTGATGTACGAGACACTAAAACTTCATTCATTCTCATCAAAACTTGCCTTTAGAGGGTTGTGTACATACCAATAGATCAGGGTGGCAGAAAATGTAAACCAACTGAAATATTTTCTTATATATATATTAAAATTAGCAAATCTCTGTGGTGAAAAAAGCCTCAAGGGGTTTTCAGAACTCACCTGGAGTGAAAAAAAAAAATTATAACAGTAGATGTAAGAACAGAAAAATTGTAAATAAATAAGTTTGTTTTGTTATCAATTCAGGAATTCTAAAGTAAAATGTTAAAATCTTTAGAATTGAAGAACACAAGGAGACTAAAAGTTACTTGATGAAATTTTTCAGTCCGATAATTCAAATTCACACGTCACAGTTAATTTATAGGGTTCATTAAGCTTCACATCAGTTTAAAAACTTTTTTTTGTATTGTCTTCTACTTTTTATTTTTGAGAACATATAACAAGTAAAATATAAACTTCTATGTCATTTTATACATATCTTCAGTATCTAAAGCAAGATCAGAGAATTACATTATTTTTAAGTAACTAAAATACATTAGTGTAATAATGATAACTTAAAAATAAAACACAGAAAGCAGAGGAGTAGCAAACAAAAATACTGTACATATTAAAAATGTGCAATTTTAAAAAAAACCTGCATGTTATTCAGTGTTGGTCTTTCAAAGGATATTGAAATTTGATAAGTTTATCTCCTGTTTCTTCACTATGTTGCGTACAGACAACATACTACGTCTGTACCAAGCTTCTAGATTACTGAATGTTGTTATGTATCTAGTGGGTTGTTGTCATCAAAGATGTTGTGATCCAAAACAACAATAGGTTTACACTACGTCTGTA